CACATTCCTCCATGGATCCTTAAAGAGTGGTGGAGGACTTGATACAACTGGAGGACTTGGTGTTGACGAACCTGTGTTTTTGGAGAAAGATTTCGTTAATTCTTGTTTTATTATTGTTCATTTGTTTATTGGGACATTTGGAACATATTACAAGAAGCTGAAAATGTGACAGGACTTACCTSCTCCCATTGCTGTGAAGTAAAGACATTCAGACGACATGTTAATACAGGAAGTCACCCCAGTGGTGGAAGATGCATTCAGATTGTTTACTTAAGCATAACTGTCAATACAACAATACAAAATATAAGTTTATATGAGTCCGAATTCTTTTGTCAAATTCCTATTGAACTACTTATTACCAGCAGCATACACTGCATTTTGTTATGTGAGAAAAATGACCTCATGGGTTTGTGCTGTTTATTCACTTGATGCAGTAAAGAAATTAGCTTTAGCTTGACAGTCACAGGGTAATAATAATAACTTTAACACTAACTTTATTTGTAYAGCACTTATSTAAACAAGGTTACAAAGGGCTGCACAAAAATCCATGRCAATAAATTAATAAATTAAAATAACAGTTATTCAATTCAGTTCAATAGTAACAGACAGATGGAAGTCCTTACCTTTGCTAATGTGGCTCTGGGCGAAGTGACTCTGCAACATGGAGGACAAGATGCTTTTATAGGCAATACTTTCACTTTCACTTTCACTCGCTGGCAGGGACCCAGGTCAAACAAGATGAAACCAAACTAATAAAAATGATTGTAACCCTTTAGAGCATCTGAAACTCATAATCWCAACTCTTAATGRTKCWTTTCCTGGTTGGATCTKGCACCTCATTTGTCATCAGGAAATCTTTAAACAAATGTTGTGTAATTCTATTCAAAATTGTCTGTTCTGCCACCGTTTTGCTTCTCTCTGACTTTAGTGTGGCTTCTGTTTTAGCACCATGGACAGATTACARGTTACTTAGAGCAGAGGAGGTTGATAAACAGACAGAACATATATCATCATCATAAAAAAGCATTATTTACGGGATTGTTTTAACAAATGAACCATTGCACTACACTGAAATCACACTTCCACTCAGGGTTATAATAGCATGAGGAGAACATACCCTATAGAAGGGGATGAACTTGATCCCTTGATCTTTAAACGTTGTTCCTTCAGTCCTTTCCTTTGAGAATGTGGCACTGGACAGTCACTCATTTCTGTTTTATAGGACATGAGCAACTTTCACTTTCCCTCACACGTTTACAGGAAAGCACATGACTTAAAATAAACRAAAACTATCCTCCATCAGAGACTTTAATGGTGACTCACTGCATGGTGGTTGGGAGTTTGTTTCTCTGTTTTGATATTAAGTAACTAGTAAAAACTCAATGCCTGTCGTTTTTGTTTCATTTGAGACTTTCATTACTGTGGTCCTGTGGTTTTTGATGTGTGTGAGACAAACATATGAGGATACGTTTTGAGATAACTGAATTTAATCAAACWGTAAATCACACAAGAAAACACTCTCAACAAAAGGCTGCAGTGAAAAGGATAGAGAGGGAAAMTAAATAAAAAATATTTTACATGAGTWATAATTGTTCTGTCAAATTCCWATTGAACTATACCAGCTGCATATACTTACAGCATGTTGAWATGTGAGAAAATAAATATGTTGTGCTGTTTATTCAATAGATGCACTGATCGTTATGTCAAAGTAAAGAAATTAGCTTTAGCTCGACAGTCACAGTAGTAGTGACAGCTTTAAGTCCTCKTAAGGCTCTGCAGGGAGTGGTTCTGCAACCATGTCAGGAGAAAGTGATTTTATAGGAAACACTTTCACTTTCCCTTTMAAGTTTAGCAACCTGAAACAAATCTATATGGGGTCTATGCCTGTAATGGAGGACACAGCACATCCTAGTGGTGAACACAGGGAGTTCCAAATAGTGGGTTTTATGGTTATGGCAGTAACTGAAATTGAACCAAAACAAAAAGTGAATTTTTCTTACAATAACATAATTGTTASAACGTTGTAATTAAGTATCTTGTATCACTTCAACATCACCTTCTGTAATTACTGCATGTTACACTGTTGAATAGTAGAGCGAAACCAGGAGACCCAATTCTTTCATTGTTTGACCTTTTATTCCTTGAAAAGCAGTTAGCTGTGACCAAAATAAAACAATTTGAAATTACATCACAAAGACCATTAAGAGACCAATAATCCTCTTAAACTAAAAGTAGCACCAGAAAAGATTTTACCTTTTCTTTTTTCCAAAGCAAAAAGGGGGAACAGTGTAACTCCGCAAACAGCGACGAAGCTAGCTTACAAACTAAGAGTTTATAGTTCTTTGTTTAAAAGTCAAACATTTACTGTATACATTAATGGATAGAAATAATTTGGCCAAATATATAGATGTCCAGTTTTGGTTCGTAATAAATCAATGCTTTAGAGCAAACCACTAATAAGCCACTGCATGTGTAGGTTCTGTTATTCACATTCAAGATAGTTTCACATTCGCTTGTATAAGTAGATGACTCTGTTACAGGATGGACAGCGATGCTCCACATCTTTGCAGGAATCAATGCAGAAGGGGATACAGCAGCAAAGAAAACACCTGTGAGGAAAACAAAGGGATTTAGAACTTCACAACCTTTTTTTCCACCTACAACAATAACCCTGAAAACATGATTTTATATATCTTGTACTTTTTCTTATCCTGAATTGACATCATTTCAGATTATATTTTAGGACGTCTCCTTGCATTTTCCAAAAGATATCACCCAATTGAAACTATGTGCAGCAAGTTTCTAAAAGATCATTTTTACCCAAAGATGGTGAGGCCGCCGCAAATGGCCCACGTCATGAGGCCCGCTTTGTGCTCCGTGGTGGTGACCACAGTCTGGTGGCAATTAGGACACAACATTTGTCCTGGGACGTCCTGCAGTGCAGGTGTTACAACCACATGAGTGACTGAGGATGAGAAATGCACAGCACAGTAAAATTAACAATTTGCCTCCATAGTTTTTACATGGTGTCCCTTTTCAAGACCAACTTCTGACTGCTGTGTATGATCAAACTCATTACACACTGCAGAAGTTCTGTTGTGTTTGTTTTTTTGTTTCGTTTTTGATTTCAAACACATGCTTTTGCTTTATGTTTTACTGTTGGGATCATTTCTGTTGGTACAGTCCACTGCACTGACTCAACAAGACCAGCAGAGGCTGCACAACAACTATAATTTGATCAGGGGATCATGGTCTGTTTCATGATGAGTGCTCTGTTTTTCCATCAGCTTTACTTTGTGAGGATCTACCGAGTCATCCAACTGGGCCATGTAGTTTTTTATTCTGTTTGATTCAGGTTGGAATATTGTTAATTTGACATATGTGGAGTTCATGAAAAAGTAGCAGAGGAATTCTCACTCGTCTGTTGTAAAAAATCGCTCTCAAAATGTAACTGTGCACATACAAAACACCGAACAATGGCTTTTTGTTGAGCTACAATTGAACTATTCTTCAGATCAGTTTGGTTGGAAGCCGAGGATTCCACCCGCTGACCTAGCCTCACTGGTCTGTCGAGTCACAGATGTGAGTTCACACGTGTGTCAATGAACCTTTAATACAAGGATGTGTGTCATAGACTGTATATAAAGAGATGACTGTGCATGCACATGTGCTGGGAAATGGACAGGCATCGATACTGTGTTTGACACACGCACGCATCTCCTCAACTGATGTTGTTGGCACTGGAGCAAAGGGAGCACAGGGTCGGTGAAACACATGGTTTACATAAACAGGAAAGAAAGGTTCACCACAGATATTTCGATTAATCACCGATTAAAAACATAAAAGCATTTGCAAACAATAACTAACATATACCTGCCAAGTAGTGATATTCTTCTATTCTCCTCTACCTCCCAGATGGTTATGTGTATAAGTTGTTACACACATGATACAAACAGTTGAGCTTTTTTCAAAGGTGTGAACCTCAGACACAAACCTCCTTGATAAGCCACAGGTGGAGTTGCACCAGGTGAGAATCCCGGCTGAGGATACGTGTCTTGCGGATGTACCACACCCCCATAGTTCATAGGTGGTCCAGGGTATGGTGGAGCTGAGACCTGTGGTGGGTATTCTTTCTCCATCTTCAGATTTCCTGACTGAATGAGAGGAATTTATGAAATCCATTATTAAATAAATTGACAAAATAAATAAACTCGTATGAATGTATTCAATTCATGTTTTGTCACATGAACAGGAAACAGTCTGTCTTACAGTTCAAGGCAATTATTAATTTGCGAAACCTCTCAGCAACGTCAAGCATCACTAAACATGGTTGACAAAAGGGTTGTGAACTGGTTTTGTGTAAATGTGCATCAGTAATACTGTCGACAGCTGCAGGGTTAGCTCTGCTGTATCTGAAGGCCAATACCCAGATATACCAAGATACTGCAATGCAACCAGTATTTATTAGTGTATCAGTGCTTCTTTCGTCTGTATTGTGATCATATAGAAGGATGCAGTGCCACAGTGTATTCTGCTCAGTCTGCTGCTCATGGTGAACAGACCCAGTCAGTCTCTGCAAACCTCCCTGTGTCTCATCGTCAATCCATCCTAAATCAATTAGTGCAACATGAGCCACATGCATTTTCAGTCACCACAGCATTTAAAGTGCTTATGCCTCGCCCTGTTTTGTTTTGAGAGTGAGGCTGCATAAAACCACATCATGAATATTATCATATTTGTATTATAATAGAAATGCTTTTGACATAAATATATATTTATCCAGACATCTGTTCCACAGTGGTGGAATATATCAACTGAACTAGGTGTATGACTCTGCCTCCCTCACACAAAATCATAACTTTAAGAAAACAGCAACAGCATATCATCGTTATTTAGCTTCAAATATGTACAATAAGCTTTACTGTACCTACCTGGGATTTTTCATCGACAAGAAGGTCTCTTCTGTAGCTGCCTGGTCCTGAGTGATGCAGGAAGAAGGAGAGTAAAACTCAGAAAGTCTCGGTAGAAGAAATACAATGAGGAGAGTACAGAAATTATTAGAGCATGATTGCCATACTGATTGAAACGTATATAGAGGAAGTGTTATCTGTTTTCTCCAGTACAACAGAGTGGTATGATACCCCCTCCTCTTTTCTCCTCCCATATTCCACGTGACTGGGACTGGTCGACTGGATGGGTCAGAAGAGAATTGTCAGCATAGTGTTTGTTGAATTGTTGCTCAAATACTGACCAGTGTTGGTATAAGAGCAATAAAGGCAGAACTCAGAAAGAGGGAGATGTGGGTTTTGTTTGCAAAGAACAAAGTTTTCTTTGTTGACCCGACATGATTCCTGCCAACACCCTTTGAGGCTCTAGTTCCACTTTGGAAAACTACAAAACGTTTATATTAAATCTTTTTTCCATTAGTGTAAAGCTTATTGAACGACCGCACCAAACAGCAGGACTCACGTACAGAAACTGAAATCAAGCAGAAGCGTGGAATAAAAGCAGAAGGGTGTCACAGTATTCAAAGTTTCTCACTGTTCACCCACACCACACCGGGACTGTGACAGTGACCATCTATACAAAACTATTTTTACAAACTTTATTAACCATTACGTGCCAGCTGTTGCAAGGATCCTTCACTGTGAGTGTGATGCTCCATTTCTGAGCACATGACTTTGACACATGAAGGCCCGATGACTGTCAGGATAAGTCTGAGGACACTGAGAGGTCACAGGACGATCACAAGAACATCACCAATCACATTAGGAATGAAACCGTCACACTGACAAGCAGACGTGGGAAGATGCTGCCCTGAGCTCAAAAGCAGAGAATGTAATTTTCTAGTTTCTTGTTATATAATTATTTGAAGGACTTTGTGACTATATGGAAAAAGGTGCTATGATGAATATACTTTACTCAGTTATATATTCACAAGTCCACAAGATGTTATTTAGCTGTTCACATGACTGAATAAATAGGATTATACATGAATCAGAATAAGTCTGACTTTATTGTGTTAAACTACTGATTGACACAGTGAATATTTAATTTCCTTTGTATGGGTAGTTGCACAGAACTTACATTTCCATGAAGCATGCTGCATATCGAACACAGGTCAATAAATCAACATTAATGGAGACTCAATGTTTGAGGGTTTTAAAACCCACCTCCGCACCCGGCTAATTGATTTGGGATTAGGGGTGGTTTGAGAAATGGCTTTTATTCACCCTCTTGCCAAATGCTTTTTACGCTCCTCCTGCATGGCAGACTGACGTCTGTGAGACCATTGGGAGGTTCAAGAAGGCAGAACAAATCACCTCCAAGTCCTGCAAAACCTGAAGCGTTCCTCAAGTTTTCTTTTTTACCCCCGATCAAATGCCATTTATTAGCCTGTCTGCAGAAATATGACATGTTATTCATTAAATGCGTGAAAATGACATCAAGCAGCTAACTCAAAACTACAGCACACAACTTTCTGTTGCTTGTTTTTATTGACATATTTGTTGATGATTCACATTTAGAATAAATCCCAGCTGTTCCACAATTTGCTTGATATATATATATATCACCTTAAAGTACCATGCTTTATCACACGTCATTACAATTCACATTAAGAAGTATATAGTTGCCAAATAAACAGTCAGCATACAATGGCAGTAAGTGCATTTCATATTATATTGTATCCCTCAGTATCAAAGGAATGTTGTAAAGCAGCTAAAACCACTTTTAAGCTATTGTGTGGGACAGTACTTTTATAGTTCTTGTCCTTCGATCACTGACAGGACGGTTTCATATTCGCTTGTATAAGTAGATAACTTTGTGGCACGATGGACAGTGATGCTCCACATCTTTGCAGGAGTCAACGCAGAACGGGATGCAGCAGCAAAGAAAACATCTAAGAGGAAAACAAAAGGAGTTAAGACTTTCCAGTTTTATTCCTAAAATAATGATGTCAGGATACAACAGGATATTTTTAAACTTTGCATTCATGTTATACAAGAGAAATTGGGCAATCAAGTGTTTAAATGCAATTTTACCATTTCTGGTTTATAGTTTAAGACATCTCTTGATTTTTTTCATCAGATAGGGTATAATCTACAAAGAAATGTATTGTGCAGCAAATATGTACCCATAACATAATTTTTACCCAAAGATGGTGAGGCAGCCGCAGATGGCCCAGGTCATGAGGCCTGCTTTGTGCTCTGCGGTGGTGACCACAGTCTGGTGGCAGTGGGGACACACTGCTTGTCCTGGGACGTCCTGCAGTGCAGGTGTCACGATCATGTGAGCAACTGAGGATGAGAAATGCACAACACGTAAAACTGAGAATTTATACATTCTCTCACATGCAATTAGTAGTAACTAACCAATTTAATGGAAACCACCATCAGGCGAAACACATTAGACAAGGTAACAATGGTTGACTGGCACAATTACGTCAGATTACCATGATTGGGATAAATTCTTACCTCTGGTTGATACATGGTGACACATTCACTGACACAATGGGCAAATCGGTAAATGTTTATTTACACCAGTGCTCTTCCTCTTGTGACAACGTTAAAATATCAGTTGTGACAAATTGCTACACGTACACAAATCAAAGGGAAACGCCACGTGACAAGCTATAAAGGTACAAGGTACTGATGCAGTTTTTTGTTTTGTTTTTTCTAACAAATGATTTAGTAAGAGAGAGAGAGAGAGAGAGATAGTGTAACGACCTCAGACACAAATGCTGGTGGACTCAAATGCACGACTCAAGGCAGGTAGCAAATGTAACAAAAAGGTTTCTTTCTTTGATTCAAAAATGGATCAAGGATCAAAAAAGTAACAAGAAAAAAGACTGAGTCAAACAAAAGATCAAAAACAGGAAAAGGCAAACAAACTTTGGCTTGGTGACGGAACTCTCATAACTCATGGAATGAACAAGACAAACTGGCACAGGACAAAGGGAGACGAGGACTATTTATACATGAGGAAGGGGAAAACAGGGGAAACCAATCAGGGGCGGGGAAGATGATCACCAAGGCGGGGAAATCACAAAAAGGGAGGAAGTCAGGGTCTGAAACGAGAGGGAAAAGGTGAGTACAAAATAAAACGGGAAGTGTGTGACGAGACTAGACATGAGTGAAGTTTAACTTAACACAGAGTGCTCAAGACACACATGATAGACATGAACTAAACACAGGCATGACGTAACTTGAAACATGAACATGAATAAACTTAACATATTTGACGAGACATAACAGATAGATAGATAGATAAATAGAGAGAGAGATAGACAGATAGATAGATATATAGAGAGAGAGATAGCAGTCTCCTCTGCAAAGCAGCTGAGGCTGCACAACAACTGTAATTTGATATTGGGATGGTCCTCTGGTTTGTAATGAGTGCTCTGTTTTTCCATCTGCTTTTCTGTACTGACTGTAATGTGAAGACACCACTGAGCCATCTAAGTGGGCAATAATGTTTTTTACTGTGTAATTCAGATTGGAATAATGTTCATGCAAAAAAGTGACTGGATCCTTTCTTATTTGTTTCTCATTAGCACTCAAACGGGCAGGGTTTACAAAAACAGGAAGAGAATGTCCAGAATATATATTTCCATACATCACCGACCAAAACTTTATAGCTTTTCCATTTATAAAATATACAAAAATACATGCATAATAGTGTAGCATTTATAATTTGTCCTCTTTTCCTGAACTCCTCTATTTTAACATCCTTTGACTAACGGGTGATTATGTACGACATACAAGTATAAGGACCACATTGAGGAAAAAAAATCAAACCCTACAAGAATAAAGTCGTGGGCTAATGTTACAAGATTAAAGTTGTAATATGTCGAGAATAATGTCGCAATTTTACGAGAAGATTTTTTTCTCTTCAATGTGGCCCTAATGTAATTATGTCAATATAAGATGCTTCTTGCAGGTTAAATAAAGTATGACTGGAGAGTGAAGGTCGGGAAGGAACAGACACACACCTGCCTGGTGTCCAACAGGTGGCGGTGCAGCAGGTGAGAATCCCGGCTGAGGATACATTTCTGGCGGTGGTGCTACACCACCGTAGTTCATTGGTGGTCCAGGGTATGGTGGAGAAGATTCCTGTGGTGGGTACGCTTTTTCCATGTTCAGATGTCCTGACTGTTGATGAAAATTGTTTTAATATTCATTATTAAATACAAGCTATCACGTTAATAAGCTTGACCTCAGCAACAAATTAAGTTTTAGCCTAAAACATTTGCCAGCACTCCCTTTGACGCAGGCCTGTTTATCAATGTCTGATTACAATATATAATTTGTAAATTATCAACAGTGCTTGCTGCTATTGATGCCTGCATTTGAACAAGTGAACATGTTATTCAATGATTTTCATTACATAGCGATCGCTTTGTGGGAAAGGTAGAAAAATTAAATGGGGATCGATTAAACCGCTTATGGCCTTAAGGCTAGAAAGCGAGGTGAAAGAACGCCTCAGTTTTCAGTGTGTTTCCAACAATGGTAAAGGAGATAATCACCTTTACCAACATTTAAATAATATATACTCTCTGGTGAGGAACAGGTAGTAGGTTTATAGGTTTGGTTACCTTCGAAAAAAAGTAAGAAGATTCGTCATTGTGGTGGAACCAAATTTACTTTTCCCCTCAGACCTCATATTTCATATCCTCTTTCTAATCTACACAATCAGGGGCGTTAATAAAATAAAATTCTTGAGATGCAGAGCTGAGGGAAAACACCTAGTGGAAGAATTAGTCTGTGTGGTCACATTTCTGCATGGACTTTGCATGTAACTCTAGCTTCCTCACAGGGTGACATGCAGACTGCAGTTTAGATTAATCAGAGGTTCTAGATTGTCTAGGGTGTGCCCCGACCATTGACCAATGTCAGCTGGGATTGGCTCCAGCTCCCTGTGTGGCCCACAAAGGAGAAGACGTATAGATAATGGACGGATGAATGAATGGAGGAAAGATGACACTCATTTTAAATGAGGTGTTGGATGTATATGGTGGAGTTGAATGCCTCTAAAATATTGAAATGTATAAGAGTAGAAAGTGAACTATCTAAATCTCTCTGTTGGACTATAGACTTAGGTATTGCTCAAGCTGGATGTTTGGTGTATTTATGATTAATGATTCATTTCCTTATTGGGAGATATATTGAGGAGTAATTAACTCTGATGGTGTAGGGCAATACTTGCCCGCTCCTCTTTCCATGATGCAACCAGTCCAACCATGTCAAACACAGTTCAACATGACTGCATCTGTGCTTCTGTATTTTGATTATAGAATGCAGTGGATGTTGCTCAGTCCCTGCAAACCTCCCTGTGTCTCATCATCAATCCATCCTAAATCAATTAGAGCAACATGAGCCACATGCATTTTCATTCACCACAGCGATGTGCCTCGCCCTGTTTTGTTCGGACAGTAGGGCTGGAAAATACAATATGCCATAAATATCTTTAAAAAATGCTTTTGACATAAACAATATGTTTAGACAATATCTGAATATCAGCTGAATTAAGTATATTGATAATCTGACCTTACACAAACTCATGACTGATAACTTTAGCTGAATAACAGCAACATTTCATCGTCGTATACAGCTTCAAATATGTAAAGTAATGTTTACTGCACCTACCTGGGACTTTTCATCAACCAGAAGATCTGTCCTGGAGCTGCCTAGTCCTGAGTGATGCAGGAAGAAGGTGAGTAATACCCAGAGAAGAAATATATCGAGGACAGTACAAGAAATAATTAAAGTGATTGCTGACAGATTTTAAAACTGACTGAGCTCCACAACGACTGAGCTCCACAACTGTATGATGCCTCCTCCTTCTTTCTTCTCCCATTTTATAGTGGGGTGTGTCAGAAGAGAATTGATGGCATAGTTCAACAGTTCTTGCAAAGCATTGGAATAAGAGCAATAGAGACAGAGCTCTTCCTCTGAGCTCTGTCTCTCAGGCTTGCTAAGAACAAAGTGTTCCTTGTCAAAAGATTGTTTGCGAGAGCAGGAAATGGAGATCAGGCTGCATCACTTGAGGGAGTTTCACCTTTAGGAAACTGTTCAGGGAATTTATACACTTTTGAGTGCAAGTTAGTCACACATGTTCAATATCACTGAGGGCTGGAGACAAGATTCCAAAAACACAGTGATGTTACCAACAAAGTAGAGAGCGCACACATCCGCCAAGGCCCAACAGTGCCCTTTTGAAAGCACTTTGGAATTCACATCAGGATTTTTAATTTGGCTTGTTGCACCAAATTGCACACAGTCATGAATATCATTTCAAGATCCATGAATTATTCTCCCAGAAATCAACGAAAATGTTGAAAAGGTTAGAGAAAAAGAGTTAAAGACAGGCAAAACATCTCAAAAGTGGAATGCAGTGATTTACATTTTGTCAGTGTTTTCCATCAGTGTGAAGCTTATTGAAACAGCAGGAATCACGTACAGGAAATGTAATCAAGCAGAAGTAGTGGAGTAAATCCAGAAGTGTGAAGTAGCTGAAAGGGAAATGAGAAGAGAACAAGTTTTGATAAAGTAGTGAATGTTTGTGTTGTAACTGAGCAGCATGTGGATCTCATTGTCTCTCAGTTTCGAACCACACACTCACACAACCCTAACCCTCTATATTAACTTTATTAACTATTTTAATGTGACAATAGCTGCACAGTAATTCCTTCTCTCCCAAACACGACTTTCAGTTGTTCAAAAATCCAGAGAATGCAATTGTCTATTTTTTAATGCATGGCCACAAGAGGTCAGAATAATTCCAACATCTGACATTATTGTACCCCAGACCTTTACACAGAGAGCAAATCAGAGCATCCACATCACTCATTCCACTCATCAGAATTTAGACAGTGACAGGTATTTCTTTAGCTTAATTTCTTTAGGATAATTTATAGATATTTAAAGTATTTATATGACCATGGAATTTAGGCCGCTTAACTTGTGTTTTGGTGCACATCACTATGTCCGTCTGCTGTTAGTGTTTCTGTTTTGTAAATGTGATTGCTATTTCATACCCATGCAGCCGTCCGACAACAGAGACTGACAACAGTGTATAAAATTCATAAAGTAATTAACAATGCATGTGCCATCGTAAAGCTGCTAAAGGGTTCTGGAGAAAGCATTCCATAATTATTAGAGTGATTATACATTTTGCACTGTGCATGTAAAATTAGCAGCTGTTCTTTACTTAATTAGTCTTGAAGGTCCAGTGTGTAAGATTTAGTTAAAAGGGATCTATTGGCAGAAAGTGAACATAAAATAACCCTAGTGATATTTTCACTAGTGTGTCTAACCTAAATTGTACAAATTGTTGTTTTCTTTACCCTTAAATACTTGATAATTACAGGGAGAGTCCACTCTACGGAGGTTGCCATGTTTTTTATAGAAGCCCAAACTGGACAAACTAAACACTTTTTAGTTTTTATGACAACTGAAGCTACCAAAGGTTGTCTTTTATTTTTGGAAGGGGAGGGTGAGGTGAGGGGTATTAAGCTGCAACATGAAACTTCACCACTAGATGTCACTAAATTCTACACACTGAACCATTAAAGTACTTTACACCTGTATTTATCCAGTGAGAGACAAAAATCTCCTCTTGTCTCTTGTCCTCTCTTTATTAATTCCTCTTACACCTCTCGTTACACATTTACAGGTTTCAACCGTTGATGGGTGGGCGAGCCGCTAAGTGAGCAAACACAATGGATGACTAACAGAGTTAAGCGGGAGGCCTGTGTTCTGTGTCATAAGGTGCAGTTCCTATAGAAATATAAACATTTATTGTAATACAACATCAGAATTCATTTATTAACTGAGGCTTGTGCAACTGATAAGCAAATTGAGGTAAAGTGTGGACAACTGCACCCTTTCACAAACACTCCATGTAACTCTGTAACGCACTTGTACTTTTATGATATGGTTGCTGAAAGATTTGAGGAAGAGGGTCTGATAAGGAGGGAACAAGGGAGCGGCCAGAGCTCTGTCACTCTCTGTGTCCGTCACATTCAGGCAGAACTCATAAGATGAGGACTCAGGGAGGACGGGTGATTCAAAAATAAGAAAAATATCACATTGGCAAAGACACACTAGTGAAGAGTTGAGAGATTAATTAAGTTAACTGAGCACAGAATTACAGGCGCCATGGTTACACTGGACTTCAGAACACTGACGGTGCCCGTGGGCATTGTGCGGATATTCGAGGTTATCCTGACCTGCATCTCCTTCAGCCTGGTGGCGTCGGTGGGCCACAGAACTGAACCTTTTTGGACGTGGTGCATGTTCACCTGGTGCTTCTGCTTCTGTGTCACCATCCTCATACTCTTCCTTGAGTTCACCACCCTCAGCGCAAAGCTGCCCATCTCCTGGGACGACTTCACCACCGCTTTTGCAATGCTGGCTACTCTGATGGTGTGTGCCATTTTCCACTGCTGTTATTTGTCTTTGTCTCTTGTTGAAGTAAATTACTCGACTACAGTCACGGTCGCTGGACATTAGTGTCATTGATGATATTAAAGCTGACACTGTAAAAAGAAAAAAGTGATTTTAGAGAAATGTACTGTACTATTTTTTCTAAACTAGTTATAAATGCCATGAAAATATTAAAACATACTGTTATTAGTAATATTAGCCATAAGATAAAAGTTGTAATCTATGAATGAATACTATGCAAAAATAATAATCAAATTGTTTGATATATATTATTCAATTGCTTAATGGCCTTCAATGTTAAGTTACATTGAATTCTATGTAAAATACACACCCTTTTGCTGAATGTATGTATTTGCATTTGCATCTATATTTTATTCAAATCTCTATATAATAAAAATAATGTTTTTTAAATATTAATATATATAATATTTAATATATTATAGCCAAAGTTGTTACAGCCACACATCCTTACTATATAATGTTGACATTTGACTGACTTTGAAACTTGGACATTATTAAAATGCAAATGTGTTATTTACTGGTGCTAAAAATGTAATGCAATATAGATGTCAACTTATCCATGTTCCATAATTTATGTGTGACTACTGCACAACTACTACCACTACTTCTTTGAAGAATAATTAATTTCACACTGTCTCTTTCAGGTGCTGGCAGCTTCCATTATCTACCCCTCCTTCTACACTTGCTCGAACTGTGATAAACAGATTGGCGCCACCGTCACTTCCTGTCTGGCCTTCATCTTGTATGCCATCGAGGTCGGGCTGACCCGGGCCAAACCTGGCGAGATCAGCGGATTTCTGTCCACGGTGCCGGGCCTCCTCAAGGTGCTGGAGGCCTTTGTGGCCTGCATCATCTTCATCTGCCTGGACTACATCCAGTTCTCCAGTTTTGCCGGACTCCAGTGGTGCGTTGCTGTCTACTGCATCTGCTTCATTTTTGCCATCCTCGTCATCGTGTTCACCATCTGCCGCCTCCTGACGCTCTTCCCTGCGCCGTTTGACAAAGTTCTGACAGCCTGCAATGTGTTAGCAGTGTTGATGTACATGACGGCAGTGGTCATCTGGCCGCTGTACAGCTTCCAGAACAACCCCAGACCCAACAACTGTTCGAACGTTGGACTGTGTCCGTGGAACAATTTAGTTGTCATCTCTTTCATGACCTGTGTCAACCTCATCGCTTACATCGTGGATACGGTTTATTCCTTTCGACTTACGTTCTTCATCAGAGGAACATAGGCGGCAAATATTCCTCATTTACAAATATTCTTGGTTGTAGTTTTTTGCAAACTTTAATCTCCAACATAGAACATAAGTATTTTTATAACATGTTTCATTTTGCTTTCAGCAGGAGATAATGATTTTATCTTAGTCTTATTAATCTTCCTATTTTGATACAGAAGTGAAAAACTTTGTCAGTGTGTGTTTTGTTCGAATTAATCATTTGAAATATGAATAAAATGTATCCAGAAGTGCAGGGTTATTGTTTAATGGATAAATAACCTGTTTAATGGTTAAACTGCTCCCTCTCAAAGCATGTTTGTATGGGTGTGTGATAGTGGGCTTACCTGGACACACACAACAGCATAGGTTTCAATCTCCACTCCCATTTTCCCAGAATGGATGACAAGAGAGAGGGAGGGAGGGAGAGAGACACACCTACAATTATATTTTCTGTCAATAGCCACTGCAAACCCACATTTAAAAAATGTGCAAAAGAGCTGAAAATATCCAACTTTAAATCACAATTTGTATCAAACAAATACAATAAATAAAATAAATTATTAGCAACTATTTTATAATCACGATTAATTACTTCATTCACATTTCAAGCAAAAAGTCAATCTTACTTTTTTAGGTCACTTATTACTTATCGTCATTATTTTTGACTTTTGGTGAAATTACACTGTTTAAAAGATATTTTGATTTAAGTTCTGATGGGGCCTTTTAAATAACCTTCATACACTTTACCTAAAATCCACTAAATGGAAAAAATAGTTCTCAGACACTAATGAAAGTCACTTTTAGATGCCATCATAGCTGAACTACCATCAACTTTGATGTTATTTACAAAATATATTAATCTCTCTACTCTGCCACATTCGATAATGAAAGAAAATAAAAGAATGTTTATTATGATAAATTGTGTTTTACATCACAAGTCACCTGCACACATTCATTCACACCCTGCTACTTTTCTATCACACACTGCCGGCACAGCAGTTACGAACAGATTGGAGAAGCCGGGATCGAACCACTGACCATCCTCCTCATGGAGGAGATACAGTGAGTAAGTAATTGGTTCAGGTTCAAACCTGAATTGCTGATATGAGTGTGTAGTTGAAAGGTCCACGGCATAACACCAGGCCTGAAGATGTCAGGAGATCTCGCTTCCTCCACTTCAGCCTTAAAGAGGCCCTCAGCCTGTTTCTTATCTCCTGAGATTT